CCAGTTAGCAAATATGTTCATTTAAAGAACACTCCACGTGACTGCACTCTTGAGGACTGACTACAAACATGAGAACAAGGAAAATATTTAGGTATAAAATTAAAATTTTAAGCTCTTTTAGATTTATAACTTCTTCATTAAATACATCTGCAAACGGCAGCCCATAAAAACCTGTAGCAATTAAGTGGTTAAACAGACTGCCTCCCTTGTCAATTTTAAGGGAGTGATTAATATTAGATCGTCCCTTTACTAATTAGACTCTCCCTTGTCTTTCAGCCTTAAAGTGGAGTGAAAATGGAGTCTGTTTGCTCCCACAGGACGAGTGGTGGGTTAATGACGCTTCCCTTACCACGTTTTTGAGTGTGGTACCCACTGAAGGAAGGGTGGGCCCCGTGGTTTTCTGTGGGTCGGCTGCAGGTGGGGAACGGCTTTGTGTGCTGGGCTGGAAGGCACTCTGGATGCTGCTTCAATCACAGGAATTGTTGCCTCCTATTTCCTAAAGGCTTGCAGTGCTAGGCATGCAGCATGAAACCCACGGTCGAGGCCACCGTCTCCCGGCCACCGTTCGTGAGACAGGGGACGCAGTGCAGTCTGTGAGGGAGGTGAGGCCGGGGATGGACGGGTCACAGGGGAGGGTGGAGCAGTGGGCAGGGAGTGAGGATAAACGGCCTCCAGGAAAAGTAACCACGACTCGGGAATTATTTCAGAAGCTGCTGCCTGAACTGAGGAGCCAGGGAGCTCCTACTCTGGCTGTGGTGGGGCATCCATCAGATGGAGAAACGGGGCGACTGCTTACAAGGGAAATAAAGAGCGGCAGAGACAGAGAATATTTATATGCCCATCTTCTCACTCCAAGAGAAGATGCTTCATCATGGGGCCGGCTGCGAAATTACACTCTTTCCGACTCTCAAATGGAGAGAACCTTTTGTCTGGGCAACGGCGAGGACAATAAGGCTTCGCTGGGACACAGCCCTCCGGGGTCACTGCCACCCTCCCGCAGAGCCAAAGGGGTGCCGCCTAGGGCAAGGGGGCCGGTTAGGGCCAGAAGGCCCCTGCTTTGCTGCGATAGCTGCCACTGGCTGCTCGCTGGTCGCCTCCCAGGGCTGAGGGGAGATGAGCAAAAACACACTCTCCAGCCTTGGGGTAGTCTACACGGCAAAGCCCCTGCTCTGAGCTGCGGAGGGATGTGGATGGCAGGGGGACGTGGCTGCTGGAGGATGGGGCAGGCAGGAAAGAGGCTGCTAAGATCATCGGAGCCAGGAGAGTGACAGCCTTCAAAGTGGGAGTTTGTTTATTAACCAGCCCTCACCACCAGAGGGCACCTGAAGAATTTTCCCCCCGAAATCTGCTGGATGGCATAGGCTTTGATTTTAATCAAGACCGGGGGCCTGTTATGAAACTTGAGCAGGTGCTGCACACACAACTGCTGGGTCTCTCCGTGAATACGCCAGCAGCAGACGCTGGACCAGTGCCCTGACCAAGGTGGGAGCCGTGGGCCTGCACCCCAACCTGAGGCTGGGGGCCTTGACCCAGGGCCCAGCCTAGGTAGCAGATTTGGCATGCTACCACAGGAGGTGGGACTCGAAAGCTGTGTCCCCTCCACTATACCACGTTGCCGCCACTGTCCACACATAGACACCTGGAATCTACACACCCACATGGCAGGCGGCTCTTGTCCACACTGCCGGCAAGCCTTGTCCCACCTTCCTGCTGGCGGGGCCGAGCGTCACACTGCACCTGGAGCCCATCAGATTCCGGGGAGGCTGGAGGTGCATTGCCACCCACTTGGTGGGGGTGATACCTCCTTTCTCTGCAACTGTTACTCAGCGCCAGGCAACTCTTGGGCAGGCTGGGGTCCGTGGCGGGTCCTGCTGTGGTGGGGGGCAGCCGGGGTTGATCGTGATCCTGGGTTGGCTGCTGGCGTTCGCTCTGGTCCCTAGTCACCAAGCTCAAGGCTGACTGGGGGAGGGGCTCGTTCATGGAGTAACCTGTCCCCAAGGCCAAATGGTGACGGGGCACAGACTTAATTCAGACGCATCCCCCAGGCAGAGCAGGGTGGGTGAAGTTAAAGCTGGCAGGAGAGACACCCATGCCAGGGCTGGATGGGCGGGCAGTGTGCCGCCTCCAGGGACCACCTGAGCCCAGGTTTCTGCTGTAAACTTCTGTGACACCACCTCCCCCGTGGGGTGCAGAGGGGTCACAGAGGGGAGCACCACCCCACACAAAGCGGCCCCCACAGATGCTGGTCGGGAATCCCAGGTGACATTCGGGGACGGTGCAGGTCATGGCTTCCCTGAACCCAAAGGCAGTCAGTCTCCTGCCTTCTCAGGGGAGGGTGCTTGGCTGATAGTGTGAACATGAGCACAGTGGCCCCCCAGCGGAGCTCCCCTGCCCCCGGCCCCTCCCCAAGGGCAGCCAGCCAGACTGGTTGACAATGGAAAAGAACAAAGTCACCCTGATCAAGGAGACCCCCAGGGGCTCAGGGCCAACCCACAGAACCCACCGCAGCACCCAGGGCCTGGGCACAGCTTCTACTCAGTCTCCAACTTCAGGAGCAATGCTGAGCTCAGCAGCAAAAAGGAGTTCCGGTTTATTTACAGAGAAAATTCCCTGACGTTGTTGAAGAGCCTGTTCACCAAAGTGTGTGGACATCAACATTCTAGTCACCATCAAATGCACACAGGTGGGTGGTGTGAGCAACTTTTAAATCCTCAGTTTAAGTGGAAAAGTCCGTGGCATCACTGACGGCAGTAACACCTGTGTTCAGCATTTCTAACCTCTCCCCGTTTCCCTACGTTTTCTTTAACTCCACTTTAGTTTCCTTCAACAGAGAACACAGATGGGGGTTTTAACCCATCACTGAAAACAAAGAAGCAAGCTAGGCTTGGCCCACTGAGCTGCCGTCACTCTGCCACCAGCAAGGGGGCGGCGTGCCAGGCTGAACTGGGACGGATTTACACCGACTTCCCCGCTTCCTGCGGACCAGGGAATGGTGGCAACAACGACCATGACCGTGACAGCAGCCGCTGATCACTACCCGCGCAGTGGCCCTGGCAGGTGCTGTTAAGCCATTTCCATGACTGTCTCCGTCAAACTCATAAATGCTATGGGGCGTTTTTACCACTGTCTTGATTTTACAGAAGAGGACGCCGAGGCTCAGAGAGGTGAAGTGGATGAGCTGAAGATTCTGCCCCCGGCAGGCGGGCTCGGCTCCAGGTGCCAGACATCAAGACAACGCAGTCTAACCACGCACGCTTTTGGCCCTTTAGTGGGGACGAGAATTGAGACTTTATGGTGGTTTCACCACATGCACTGGCTCCACACCAGGGCTCGCTCCTATTCCACCCTATCCTGATACCTTGCAGGCCAGGCCGGGGTCAGAGCATAGGTCGAGGGGCCTCCCAGGTCCCACTGTCCCCAGCAGCCCCTTGGAGGGACAGGGATTCACAGACTGTGTGTCATAAAGGAGAGGATTTGGGGAATGACACGCTAGGTCTCAATGTGGGGCAGATGATTTCACCTCTCAGAGTCTCAACTTCTGCCCCATGAAGTGGGGAGGAATGTTGCCACCTGGTCAGCCTTGGGTGAGAATCGGTGATGGTGGAGGTAAAGCCCAGCCCAAGAGCTAAGCACGGAGCAGGTGCTTAAATAAATGAGGCTCCTGTCACAGCCTGGAGGACGGGAGGGGGGAGAAGGGGTGATGTCCCCTCACGGCTGCCCCGTCTCCACCACCGGCCTGTGGTGACGGGCACCTGCTGTCTGCGCACTTTCTGTATCTGTCCATTTAGTATTCACGCGACAGGTTTGACTGTCATCCTGGCTTTAGGCAGAGAGGGGGCGTGACCCCAACCCCCACCCTGTCAGGCCTGTGTGACCTTGTCCGTCCTGCAGAGTCACAGGCCGTGCCCCTGCTCCACAGCCTGCAGGGAGAGCAGCCCCCGCAAAGGCCTTCCGCACACACTCGCCAGAGCCACCCTGTGCGGGACCCCAAGCAGCTGGGAGCCACCCCCGGCCACGCGGCTTCTGGGTAGAGCTGACACGGAACCCCACGGACGGGTGTTTTCTGACGGGGTGGTAGCCTGCCTTTCTTTTCCTATGTCTACCCCCTACCCCCAAAATCTACAGATGACAATCAGGTTGGTTTTTGTGATTTACCAAAACTCAAAGGCAAAGGGGGACTTTCTTGTCTTGTTTTTGCTGTGACAGGTTTAGAAATTTGTTGTATTACATTGATTCAATTTTTCTTGATTTCAGCCATCTTTCAATAATGCAACCTGCTTCTGCTAGCTGGGTATACAAGAGAAAACCCAGAGGAACTGGGAATATTGAAATGGTTCTACCATTTCCATCTTGGAGACAAATGTTCCTCTCAGAGGAGAGCTGGCTGCAAGCATGTGACTGCTTAACAACCGTCTATACATAAGAGACGACACACACTCTCGCGCTGTCTTATGAAAGCGGGGAGAACACCGGCGGAGCTGACCTCCAGTTGGATTCCATTATCTCAGCTCTCTGTCTTCAGAGCTGTCACATGGACTCCGGTCCTGGATTTCTTTCTTTTTTATTAGGAAAACATCCAGACTCTTTCGAACCAGGCTGCCAAGTGGGGTTTGGCTTACCAAGCACAATGGAATGTATTGCGATCCTTCCTCTAAATCACAAAGAGGCTTGGACATTTCTCCAAACCCTTACTGGTGGCAAATCATAAAACAGAAGGGGGGACAGCCAACCCCATGCACAGCCCCCAGCCTCCACCTTCTTTAAGCCGAGATATTTAAAAAAAAAAAGAAGCAAAATTGATTGTTCTGGCCGTCACGTGAAACCTTCTGACTTATTACTTGAAGTAATAAACACATTAAAAGTGAGTTTCTGTTTCTAAGAAATACACTTGAGAGCAATGAAAGTGTCTTTCTCCGAGGGTCACCCTGCTCCCGGGACAGACCCCTAACAGTGAGCGCGGGCCCAGGCCCCACCTGTCCCCGTCTGGGCAGCTTGCTTACCTCTTTTTCAATTTCTGCCAGAGATTTGATGGTGATTCCCAAGAGATCAAAGGGCTGCATCTGAAAATACAGATAGAGTCATCCTTTTAAATGGCTGGAAAATGCTGCTTCACATCTGCTTTTATTCACAACAATTGTGACACTTCAAACCCACAATGTGTTTGAGCGCTTTCTCCACTCCCTTTTCATGGAAACCATCGGGGTGACTTTGCAGTGATTAGTGAGGGCAAATGGACCAGTAATAGGAGCAGACTGAGAAACCTGGCCATCACCAGGGCGCCTTCTGCTGGGGACCCTGCTTAGTCATGTGTCTACCGGACCCAGGAGGGTCACAGTGACTGTCACCAATAACTCCTGCCTCTCTTCTCTCCCTGCCCATGTAAAAAGCCGGCTTGCTCTTTCTGCAGCAGTGGGAATGGAGGTGCCCGAGGCCTCACCACCCCGCCCTGCCTGCCACATCTCTGTGGTGGACAGGGTCTAAGCAACCCCAGGAGGGTGGCAGCTGATCTCTTGGGGATCTGGGATTCCTTGGCATCCAGGGAAGGAGCTGGAGGGAACTCCAGGTCTTTGAAAATACAGGTGAATGAAGTAACTGTCCATCAGTTATGTTGGAGAAATCAATGGGGTGGAAAACGATACCACCACGTGTTAATGGGTGTTTCTATAACTTTACAGACATGGGGCCCCTTTTTTGGGAAAATTCTGGCTTTTCAACAGACAGCATTAAAAATCAAAGACACATGGCAACAAGAGTCAGCTGGAGGCCCAGAGACGCCTGGGCTGAAACGCACGCAGAGTGGCAGAGGGAGCCCTGTCTGCGAGGCCCCTGGTCCATCCCCTCTCTGGGACATCGAGGGTCTGCGCTTCCACAGGGCAGCGGCCCCGCCTCCTGCAGCCCAGGCCAGCAGCTGGCAGCAGCTGGTGGACAGGTAAGACCTGAGAGTCTCCAACAAAACCCCGGGGCCTTCAGGGTTCTGAACCACAGCCCAGAGGCAGGGGCCAAGCCGGAGCCTGGGCCGGGCCAGGTGGGGGTTTACTGCGAGGAGGGGTGGATGAGGCTGGCTCCGAGTCCAAGGACCTGGATTCGAACCCGATCAGCGCCTCCCCATGATGCAGTGGCAGGTTAATCACTTCATCATTTCCTCTCTGGTTACAAAGCAGCACGGGCGGGCGGGCCCTCCTGGCCTGGCTGCTGGGAGATTAAACAAGAGAAGCACTTGGCACTGGGCTTGGCCCGGGTCCGCCCGCCTGAGCACTTGCTGTGTTGGAGAGCCTGGCAGCAGCAAGTTTGCAAGGGCGATCTTGGGACAGGGCCACCGAATCAGGCACTCAGCTCCTGGGGCTGCTCTGCCGGTAGCCACAAAACAGTTTGGCGTTCTCCTGCCGCCAGCCCGAGTGGCGCGAGCCTGGGGCCGCCTGCCCGCGCTGCCCGGGATCCAGCAGAGGTCCAGCTGTTGTATCATTAGGCTCTAACTGCCCCACTAAACTTTCCCGATTGGAGCTGGTGTGCAGGACAGAACGGCCCTTCCAAGGGAGCGGGCGGGAGAGGCGCCAGCGTCTCCATGGCAACGCGGCCAAGTGGAGTCGGCTGAAGTTACTCACGCTCTGCATGTCACGTCACGAGCGTTTTTCAAGATTAAGCTGCTTACCAGAAGGGTTCAGAGGAGGCCTATTATATTTCATGAAAATGGAAACTCCAGTGCAGGTCAAATCGCAAGCTGGGTGGTTTTAAGCTGGATCCAAGAAAAACACTGAAGGCTTCTCTAGCTGGTGCCCAAACCAGGCCTTCATATTTATTAGCTACTCAAAGCAAACTTCTGCAGAAAGGATTTTTAAAAACCCAGAAACAAGTCTACTGAGTCGACATGAACCAGGCCTGCAGAGCGGAGGGAGGGCCACTGCCATCCAGGGGGGCACGCACCACCTGAGAGAGGGCACAGGAGTGCCCGGCTGGGCCCACAAAGCTGTGAGGTGGGTGCCTCTCACGATTTGGGTTCTGGCCTTCAGGCCCCGCTAGCTCACTCTGTCCCTGTCACTAAAGATGGCTCAGGGACCCAGTGTGGCCTCGGTTCACTCATGTGTACCAGAGGTCTGGGCTGGCCTGCAGGGGCTGGAGACCCACGGCTGCTGGCCCTGCCATTCGGATGCCTGCAGAGAATGTGGTCACTGTGGGATGCAGTGACGACAAGGGAAAGTGAGGCAGCTATCTTTCTGCTGGACTTCATCATCGTTAAATAAATAAGAACAAAAGTTAATAAGCTGAACTTGGAAACCAAGAACATTTATAGCCAGTGAAGTTTAGTGTCATTTACCATCACATCTGAAATGAATAGGCTTGGCTGTGGCTGCGTGTGTCTTCCCTACTTTTCTTTTACTTCTCAAGCACCAACTACGTGCAGCATTAGCTGAAGGGGCCGAGGGAGGAGCACAGCCCACTTCTAGCTCTCAGGCAGCCCTGTTGTTGGCTGCAGGCCTGAGCTTCCTCCAAAGGGAGAACGTGAGGGCAGCAATGATTCCAACAGGGGCGGGGGCAGGGGAAGGGGTGTAGGGGCTGCCGAGACGCCCCATGTGTGGAGCAGAGAGCTCAGGCTGGAGGCAGCAGAAGAGGGGGTGAGCATGCATAAAACTTACACTTTCTGGAACACAGGAAAACTTCTCTGAAATCATAAAAGGCACACCATCCATTGCTGCAAAAGAAGAAAAAAAGAGGAAATGGCATTGCAGACACCACTGATGTTCAGTAACTTGAGATACTGACACACATACTGGTCTTGACACAAGCCAGTCGGGGGCTGCAGCCGGCCGACAAGTGCACAGGTGAGTGGCGCCCAGGGCCACGTGTACACAGGTGCCATTTCTGCTCCCAGGACACACACCTGCTGAGGGAGGCAGACACCCCACAGCAGGGCAAACAAGAGCTGTCAGGGCAGGACTGGTCCAGAGCCCACCCAGGGTCTGATGGGTAAGTGTGGGAGCCACTGAGGGGACGTGGTGAGGAGGTGGGCGGTGAGCATGTTCGTGAGATACTCTCTCAGCGGAGACTGGAATCACAGCCCAGGCTGTCAGGCTCAGGGGAAAGGTCTAGGTTGGAGGAAAGAGTGGTTCTGGAGTCAGACAGACCGGGTTTGAACCCTGGCCTTGGCTCTGGGTGCACTACTTAAGTTATATTTAAAAGGACAGCACGGCCTGCGTAACTCAGCACAGGGGTGCTCAGCAGGGGGCCTCTTGATCTCTTAGCCTCGGTCTCACGGGCTGAGCTGAGGCTCACTGCTCTGCTAGGTTTTAACAGGACACAGAAGTGGCGGGAATGGGTCTCCAACAAAGGAAACCACAGAACCACAGTGGTTCGGTTCCTTTTTCACAGCCCCGCACAGGCCAGGTCACTGCCTTCAGATCACTGCCTCCTCAAGGGCGCCCTCCCCTGGGATGAGGGCGCTTTACACCATGGAAACCCTGGGACGTGAAGGAACGGGACACGTGGACAGCGCGCGCTGCGGGCACGTGCAGTGTGAAGGCTGGGCAGCAGAGCCGACTGTGGGGATGGGTGAGGCTTCTCCTGGGGCCCGGCCTCTCCAGTCCCTGTCACTCGTGTGGTGTGGGGGCCTCATGCTGAGGGGGATGGTTTTCTGGATGAGGGGTTTCCCGCGTAATGACCTCTGCTCCACGACACCTAATGGGGGGACTTCTCTGCTATACAAGGGGTGGGCAATTTTTTTCAGTCCTAAGGCATAAGAGTCGCGGAAGCAGAAAGAAGAAAAGGAAATAAAAGAAAGATAAGGAATCTGGGACAAATCCTCTCTGATCAGCAAGATGAGCCAAATGTGTCATTTTAAGCTATGTTCATAATTTCTGGGAAGAAAAAAATGAAATCTTCTCTGGTAGGTTTGAAGAAAAAGAAATAGCCCAGCGGGCCCAGCTGCACTGGAAACCTCCTCCTTTCTTGGGGAGGCTGCTGTCTAAGGAGGGGCCCCTGGGCTTGGATGGAAGCGTCTGTGGTCATAGACCTTCCCAAACAGGAGCCTCTGCCACCTGCCCTCACTGCCCGGAAGAGGACTGGCTAAGCACTGGGGACAGTGTGACACCTCCCCAGAAAGTGGGAGGAGCCACAGTCACCGTACACAGTACGTCACACATGCACGTGCACAAATGAAATCTGAGCACCTACACGCGCCTGGCGCGCATCTACACCCGGGAAAACCCACCCGTCCATGCCTGGGCCTGGAAAGGCCACGAGGCCTTTTAGAGAGGGCAGGGCCAGGCTTCCCAGGACCCATGAAGAGGCCAACCTGCCACTGTCCACCCAACGTGGCTGGGAGTCAAGGCTCACCCCACATGGCACCCTGACCTCTGACCCCACACCCACAGAGGCAGGCGCGCACACAGCACTCACACAGCTCCAGCCATTCACAGGTCGGGGTCAGAGGTCGGGGGGGAGAGGCTGGCACGGCTGAGGTCACACAGCTGGCAGGCTGTGCAGTCTCTGGCCCTTCCGTGAGGTGTAAATGCAATTTCCAAGAACGAACCCGCTTCCTCCAAACCAAGGTCTTTCCCGGTTTTGACCGCCCTCCCCAAGTGTCCAGGTGGCCCTTCTACAAGCTCCTCCTGGTCAGACCTACAAGCCGGGACGTGGGTGCGTGTGAACAGCCCCACACGAGTCAGACCCACCCTCGTCTTCTCAAATCTGCTCTTTCCCTGGGCTTCCACTCACCACTAAGGTGCCGCCTACTCTGGGCCACCCCAAGTCAGGAGCTGGAAGCCACGGCCTCCTCCACCTCCCCCTTCAAATCCGCAGAGCGCCCTGTCGTCACCTGCCATGGCCATGCCTCCCTCTGCTCTGCACACACGCACCTCCCTCCCGCCTTCTCTGCCCAGGAGACAGACGGCGGGGTCCAGGACAGAGCTCCCCACCTGCACTTGGGAAGCAGGAAGCGGGCCGACCACACACCTGGGGAGCCATCTTCAGCAAACACATCTACAGCCCACATCACTGAGCTGTGAACTCTAATCGCCCACCCACCAGGCTTTCTGCCTTTGGTGTTTAAAGAACTTCTCGTGTTCGAGGGTTTCTGGTAGGATATGATGAAGGTCTCTCTTCTCACTGGTGACAGTTGTTTCCATCTAAATGTCAACCTGTGTTCAGGGAACATGTGTTCTGAAAAGGTGGTGAAGTGACTTGCAGAGGCCTGATTATCCCGGGAAGCACTGGGTGGGAGCGAGGGAGGGAGGCGACTCCTGCCCAGTGTGAGGCTGGCAGTCATGCTTGCACCCCAAAGGGAAGAGATGGGGTCCTCTCTGACCCTCTGCACACGATTCCCCTCCCCTTCACTCTATGTCTATACCCGGCCATCTCTCTGGGGTCTGCTCAGAGTGCCCCCCTGCAGGAAGCTGTTCCCAAGGTCCTGCCCGCCTCCCTGGGCACCTGGCCAGGGCCATGCTTCTTCCCCAGGCCGTGGGCCTCTGGCCATCCATGTGTGAGTCACCTCTGTGTTCCTGTCCCAGCACAGCGGTGCCTGGGGTGGGGGTCAGCATCCCCTGTGATGAGGTCTGGCCTGGGAGACATTTTGGAGAGAAGAAAGGGAAGATGCATTCCCAAGACTTTCTGAGAAGCAAGAGGCAACAGAGGGTGGCCTTCAGGATGGTGGGGCTGATGCCCTCCAGACAGGGTTCAGTGGCAGAGACGGTGTACAGAACCTCTTGGACCTAATCTGACCTCTAGGGGAAGCTGCCTGGTGAAGGCAGAGAGATGGGAGCTGAGGATAAATCACTTTATCTTAGAGTTCATGATAGAAAGATGGGCACAGCCAGATGCTTCTTGTATTCTTCTAGAAAACAGGTTTTAACAATCTTGGGGGAAAAGAAAGTGAGGCCACAGGTCCTGTAGGCTGCAGCTCCCGCATGGGAACTGGCTCAAGAGGAACAGCTAGCTCTCACCCACCCTGGAGTCCCTGAAAAGGGTCCCCAGGAGCCAGTGACAGTTTGCTAAATAGATGATCTGCCAACCAAACTTCATTTATTTAAAAAATCTAGTATAGCCAAGATTACAGTAGGCTGAAAGAATGTGGATTTTAGCAAAGTACTTGACAATTTCTCATGTTACCCCCGTGGACAAGACGGGCAAATGGGTCTGGTCAATGCCAAGGGGAGGAGAGGCTATAACTGGTGGGACTAGACGTTCAAGAAGCTGATTAAAGACTGACACTGACCTCCAGGGTGCCCAGGGCATTATCAACTACTTCCACAAAGACACGCAGAGTAGGCTTATCCAGTCTGTGGCTGATGAGAACAGTCTATAAACTGGATAACAGAGAGAAACCCAATAAAGATCTCAAAAAGTAAGGATCATAGGCTAAATTTAACAGATGGGATTTACTAAAAGGTCAGTGTTAAGTCCTGTACTTTAGGTCCAAAACATCAACTGTATTAGACGGGATGAAAGAGATGGTCACGCTGGAGTAACAGCAGAAGCGACTAGTCTGTCGTTGAATAAATCAACAGCATGATCCGACTGTTTAGAAAGGGGGAGGGGCGCCAGGGGTGCCGGGAGAGGGGCGGCGCCTTGGTCTGCTCCGGGCTCCAGTGTGGAGTTCAGAGGGTGGTCCTGGGCAGCCCACCAGGTGGTGAGGGACTGGGAGCTGGCCCCCAGGAGGGAAGAGAGGAAGCCACCAGCCTGCTGCTCCAGGAAGGCCTGATTCCTATACTTTGTTCGTTGTCCCCTCACCTGCATCTGAGCCCAGCATCCAGGAAACGGGGTGAGATGGGGCTCTGGTCTTGAAGGTGAACGTAACCAAACATCTGCACATGTTCTCAGAGCTTTCTCGGGAAGAGGGGCTAGAGAGACGGGGCACGGTGCAGAGAGGGGCCTGCCCTCCTCTGGGGAAGACGCAAGGGAGGACAAGTGGAGCTGGCTGACCGAAGTCCAGGCGGACGGCTGCTGGCCAGGGACTTGGGGCGGGATTTGGTGCTCTGGGTAGGAGGCTGATCTGTGGGACCGCTAAACTCCCTTCTAATTCCATCACATCCATTTCTGTTCTCCTGATCTGGGCGGCCTTTCCATATTTTAAGATATCTTGAGGTTTGCCAAACATATTTCTTAAAATCAACAGCACACATTTTTCACATGTTCCCAAAGATGTTCATAAATCATCTCCATCCGGGCTTCTCATGGGGGAACTCAGTTTCCTTCTTTCCTTCTTCCCAGCTGAGGCCAGTGTTTTGTCCTTACTTCTCTTCCCAGCGCTGAGAGCCAGTGATCCTTGTTTGAGCGTTCAGCCTAGTGCCGAGTCCTACTCAGAGTGACACACGGTGGAGGAGATGGACGCAGAGCCATGAGCGACAGGTCCCAGCTCTCGCAGAGCCACTGTTCGGGGGGTACGTGTTCATCCCCCATCCTGCCCTCCCAGTCAGCCTGGGGTTTGTACGGGGTCCTCGCACTGACACGGCCTGACCAATCCATGGCCACAACCCTGAAGAAGCAGGACACACCTGTCCTTTCCTCACTGGTGCCAAAGGCGGCACTCCTGGGGCCCAGAGCAGTCCCTTCTCCAGGCCCCTCAGCTCCTCTAAACCTGGAGTCACAGAACTTCTCCCCTAGCCCAGCCCCAGGCTAGAAAGAGAGAAAAGGAAAGGAGATCATATTTACCACACACTAGACAGTGAACATGCGTCAAATAACCCTCAAAATGATGAC